ACAATAAGCCTTGAATAAGAAACCTGGAATGTTTCAAAAGTAACAGCTATTAATCATAAATATATGATGCAATCACATTCACAAGTATGGAAAGCAAGGCAGTGGCGGCTGCTGCTGCTGACATGTGGGTCCTCTAAAGTTGATAATTAAAATGCAGTAACAATCAAGTAAAAAACCAACAAAAAAAGGATCTATGCTACATGCCCTGGGCCTGCCCAGTTCTCACTAAGCAGAATGACTTAGTGTTTTTCTGAAATGGCATGCTTCAACTAATACATAAATCAATTTGTTTACCTTTAATAATTACCTAAATAATGGATGAAAATGGACTAAAAACTTTGAATATCATTGACGAATAAAATGAGCCAACAAAACACTTTTACAATCAACCTCATATACTTGTGAAATGTTACTGTGTGCTGCTGTTGAAAAACACTGAAACTTCTAAAGCTCTTCCCTCAGACAATTTCCACTGTGATATATTGTAGCAGAGCCATAATCTATTGGACTGACTTTCCCATAGTTAGTATCGAATGGGTGGAAAATAGGAACATTTATCATCAAAGTTGTCTTGCATAATCGAGGACTCAGCAAAGAAGCCAACCTATCATCTGGTGCATAATGATCAAGCATGGTCCAGCTTATTAAATAATCACTTTCCAATAAATTAAGCCACCTTCCTTTGAAATGCAAAATTGATGCACTCAAAAAAACAGGCTTAGAGGCAACACCTTACACATCCTGACACTCCAATCAAGTAATGAGTCACCACACAATAGCGCAAATGCAAGCAGATCCCATGCGATCCAAAAGTGTTAGAGCACTACCCATTTTTTAGTAGAGTAACCCAAGGGAAGAATACCCAGAAAGCATGTACACCTACCATTGCATCCATGGCGTGGTATCTCTGCTGCATGGGATTACAAGGTACAGGAAGCACATCAGAAGAGGAACCCCAGGAGCAAGGGAAGTCATTGGACAAGAGAAAAGTTTATGCAATGAAGGAACATGGATGGGATGAAGACGTGGGGGCAGAGAGGAATAAAAAAGAAAAAAAGAACAAGATGAAACATGCTAAGGTGTATATCACAAAAACCAAATTATTTCACAATTAAAGCTATGGACATCTCGCATTCGTCCTAATGCATTTATTCTAGATGAAACATCAATACCATCCATCAACCAAACGCATGACCCATCTTCATAGTTACTATTACATACAATCTAAGACCTTCCAATGTCTCACATTAGTAGAAGGTATTTTCCATCACAAAGTAACCCCCTTGGAATTAAAAATTGCAAATAAATACCAGCATCATCCAAAGTATTGAACAAGGCTTGAACCACATTTAAATTGATCAGAGTTTGAGCTACTATCCTTTCTGTCCGGGTACGACATCCAAAGCCGACATGGCTGTTGTGATGTGACATTTTTTAAGATTGATATACCACCTTCAGTAACATTAATAAGAGTAATATTGCATTGGCTCAAAACATAGATATCACTTCATATGAGAGAAACCTCATCACCTCAACTCTCCAGTGGTTGATTAATATAAAGACTTGACTGAAATAATAGCCTTTATATCACTTTTCTAGCATTTCTGGACTGTTCAGCATAACATTTTGGACCTTTTTTTCTTTGCAGTGACTGTTACAGTCAAGCTTTACACGAAAACAAGGACTGCTTTCAAGCAAACACAATGTCTGAGTAGCTAAATAATAAACTATACCATTCAGGGATCAAGCTAGTGAGAAAGTTATAGAATAAATGTCTAGAAAAGTAATTTGGAAGCGAGGTTCTGAACTTTTCATTCAACATGTGAACGATTCATGAGAAACTGTCTCAAGCTTTCTCTCAAAGATGAGCAAAAATTAGGTAGGAATGGAAAACAGAGTTCCAATTCCCTCCTGCAAGTCATGGGAAGAATGCAGAGTAAAGTCATTCCATTTATGGTAGATTGTAGTAACAATAGGAAACATCAATTTGGATTGCAAAATTAATCTATCACACAAATGTGATCATAAATCTGAGCCAATCTTTCTTCAAGATTTAAAAAAATCCATTATTTTTCATTGACACAAAAATGGGAGTTTCCACAGCTTTTCAAGAAAATAAAAAAAATGAAATATGATTAACACTTCATATGATAACATTCTTGACAAAGTATACAAAGGTATACTTTGACAATTGAACTACCAAAACCCAGATGGTCATATGTTGAACTCCTTGTTTCATCTCTTCATTCCATAAGAATCNGCAGCTTTTCAAGAAAATAAAAAAAATGAAATATGATTAACACTTCATATGATAACATTCTTGACAAAGTATACAAAGGTATACTTTGACAATTGAACTACCAAAACCCAGATGGTCATATGTTGAACTCCTTGTTTCATCTCTTCATTCCATAAGAATCCCTTTAAATACATTGTCTAATTACTACCTCCTGTCTTCGTGAAAACACGCCAAGTATCAGACTTAATAAATTTACAGCCAACAAAAATGGCTTATCTAAATATCTATTATCTAGATATTTAGATATCTATCTATTTATCTAAAAATTCTTAAATATCAGGTTCCATTGGACCCAGAGTGGCAGTTACAGGTTTAAGTCCTCCTAATTTTCAGCAAAAAGCAAACATTTTCCTATTAATACAAAATCATCCATCATCAGGCCATGTTGAATGCACCAAACTGACACATTCTCGTGAAACTGAAGATCTGGCTTTAATGAAACAAGGTCGAAAGAGTGAATGGATTACCTCAACCAGCATTCACACCATCACCCTCAATCATAGAGAAAACCAAAGTGCAAGAAGTCAATTTCCTGTCAAGTGGAACTTTCTTCCCCCAGGAAAGCCATCACCCCTAGTTCTTGGTGGAATGTGCCATGCACAAGAAGACCTTCAGCAACTATTCCTTTAACTCTTGTAGATCAGAATGGCATGAGATAGGTAGACAAAATTTACATCTAAAAGGAAGGTGAGCAGATGTAAAATAATGTATGCAAACCAGCATGATAAAGATCAGCTCAAGTTTACAGGTTGCTCCAATAATAAACAGGCACCTGAGGTGCTTCCTATGCTTCTCTACTGAATAGCCATTGGGAAGTCTGAATCAATAATTGTGCTTCATAGCATGCATTTTTTCTAGCATCTGGTATTTCTTAGAATTGAAATTATTCATGTGAAAGGAAAACCATTCAAAACCATATTTGGAAAAGACCTAGTTCTAAAGACAGATGCAAAATACTTTATGCCACACAACTCATGTCCTGAGGTCCTAGCAGTAAATATTAATTTAAAAATATTTTTGTGTCAGTTTCAAGTAGCAGTGTAACTTGCAAACCATAAGAGGCAAAAATGTAAAATTCATAAGATTAGGGAGCATAATGGGATGAGAAAAAGTACAATCATATTTCTTTCTTGAAACAATGAATACAATACCACATATGGTAGGGCCTCATATGAACTTAATGAAAAACATGTCAGTCAAAGACATGGAGCAGCAGCCAAGCTATTTATGTGACTTCAGTAAGTTCACCTGGTCTGCGGAGGGGCATAAATGCCACACTTGATCTGCTGGATAGGGGACAAGTTCAAATCAGGCACGAAACACATATATCTCATCCTCACAAACCTCATTCCAATGGCAAAGATAACTTCAGGAACTAAACTGAGAATTGGCACTTCATCTTGCCATTTCCATGACATTGAAAACACAAAAACATCCAATCGTGCTCAAATTGAAATATGAGAAATTTTTACAATTAAAATTGAAAATGAACAAAATTGTACTGATTTTAACTGGTAATCCAGATTCATCAAGTTGCACTACCTATAATGGATGAAAAATAATTGCAATAGCTGCCAATTCTCCACGCAGGTGCATATTATGGATTTATTTAGGGGTCACCAGCTTGTTCATCTTGTATCCAATTCCTCAGTCATTTTCACACTCGACTCTGCCATCTTTTGAGAGCAGAGACAATGTCAGGCACTTTGGCCTCTGGAAATTTTGCTTGTACAGCTGCCACCATGAACCATGGTCTTCAAAGATCAACAAGGAAGGCATTCGTTTAACAAAATGTAGACACCAGTTAGGTCTCGTAAAATTAGGAAGCTCGTATGCTTGTACGTAAAAATCAAATACTTCAATGAGGCACGTGATCACATATGCAAGAGCCCATCCATCAAATGTGATAATTCTTGTATACAGAAAATACACGTTGCCCAGATACATCCAATGGATGAATAAGCCTCACATAAGTCATATACCTGGAACATGTATGCTCTCACATATGCTACTTCATGTATTAATACATGGAAAATATATAAACATATATAATAGTTCACTACACATTACTTCCATATATGATCATTTCCAAAAAGGTTAAACAATAGTAATATGAATAGTGCCATTACACCTATTGCATAATGTGACCTCCATTCAGATCAATTATGGTATTCACATGTGAAATGATATAAAAATTCATGCACAGTATCTCTCAAGGAATTGTTATGATTCTTCTGTATTGCATTTCTAGGATCTGGAAGCATCATCGGCTATGATGGTGCACCTATACATGTACAGCACTCTTAAGAAGCACTCTGGAAGAATGCAATCAATCATCACAAAGTAGATCATATGAAACAATAAATGCTTTGGCAACCTCTATATTACTGTTTCTTTAGTTGGTATATTTTTTTACATCCCATCAAGCTTCCCATCATGTGCTGAACCTCTTTTACAAACAGCAATCTCTACCTTCCATGGTTTGCATGATACACTGCTCCAATTCAACAGCATCGACCTCATGGCCACCTAATACGAATAGCACTCATCAACGTTAGGAGCCTGTTTCGGCAATAGCTACTCAAGTTCCCATAAGAAGTATGGGAAGGCAGTTCCAACATTCTTTGTCGTCGGAAGTTACCGAGTAAGGAATGACACTTACCGAATGAGGGCCATTGTTGAGGATCTCATGTTCTGGTTCATCACTGCCACACCTATAAAAATGAGTTAGATACAGCTCCTCAATGAACATCAGTTTGAGAATTCACCTGTAGAGCAAAAACATCTCCCAATAGTTTTTAGCTCCCATTCCTGTATGATGCCATACTTAATAATTAAAAAATTGGAGTGAAAATTATTTATAAAGTAAGAGATTTTATGATATGGGGACCACTTCAGGGACAGACAGCCCTAAAGCTTATCAGCTCTGTAAGCTTGTTTGATTTTTTTTTCACTCTATCTCATTGCAGCTGCCATAGTCAAAAATTTGCATTGCCCAATTACTGATGTAATTCTGACCTGTGAATAATAGAATTTGATCAGCATATGCTCAGTAAAAAATATATTTCATGAGCACTTAACCCATTCACTGCCAACAGATAACTTCACTGTCATACTTTAACATACACGGGCATCATCAGCATCAAAAAGCTCAATCCAATGCTGCCATTCACATTCAGAACCTCAAGAACCCAAACTTAAATCACAATGGGGATCTTTCCATTGCAAAATGCTACAATCAGATGCATGAAAATATCCAACATTTAAATGGGGAAGGAAGTAAAGGACTCACTTGATTCCAAGCCAGTAGAGAACCTGTGAGGTAGACCCACCACACACGATGACGGTGACGATGACGATGAGGGAAGTCGTCGTCAGGACCATCTGCCGAGCCGACGACACGGTGTTTCGTATGGCCAAAGCAAATGCCATGGCACCTCTCAGCCCTATGAAAAACTTTAATCAGTGGATGAATGGTCTCGCAAATGGAATGGTTTTAAGCCTCCAAGGCTCTATGAAGTCCATGGAAGCTTAATGGATGATGATGGCCAGGGGGCCATCATCACCAGATGGTTGGGTGGGGATGATGACCAAGAAATGAAATTCAAGGTGAAACACGCCACAACATCGGGGATGCGATGATGGATCTTCACAGGATCCCGGCACAAGATGGCATGCTGGACTCAAAGACGAGATCGGAATTCGCACGAGACAGAGACGTGAACTTTCCGACTCACCCGAGAAGAAGAGCACGTGCTGAAAGGTCGTAGGGATGGGCCTCTTCTTTCCGAGGTTCAGCAGGAAGCAGAGTGGATAGATGTTCGCAGCCCTGCCGATCGCTATGGCGAGCTGAAGCACGAGTCAAGGGAGATGCCTTTCGGCTTCCAAACGAAACGAACGGCAGCTATGCACCGACACCGATTCGACCCTTACGAGCGCCAACAGTCAGCACACAGATCATTCGGTGAAAATTACCTGAGATGAGGACCTCCACAAGGTTTGTCCATGGACTTCCCTCTATCACAGCATTAGCAAGGAGGAAAGGGGGATGGTTCCATCCATACTATTACATTCCCTTGCATTCACCAATCTACCTCTCTTCACTACATATTTGACTTTTCTGAGTTTTATAATGAAATGATCAAATATCAATGATGGTAAGATTGAATTGGAAAGGGGGTTGATCCATACAACCAAATGACCCTTCTTATGTATCAAATAAAACCTCAAGTTTGTATTTCTGCTGGATTTCCACTAATGCAGTCGCTCATATCCTACATATCAATTGAACTGATGAAATAACGCTTATCAATCTAGAACATGCATGCCCACCATACACTCCCAGTCATGAACAAAACTAAGCATGACATGATTAAAACATAGCTAGGACAAGACAAAAATCATTCAGCAGATATCTGGTTATGAATCAACTGCTTCAACATTCGACTTATCTCTTGGGAACAGACACTACTTGTGAAAATCTGTTCCCAATAAAAAGAAAATAAATACTTTAAACCAAGTTAGGAAAACAGAAGAATGAAAGGTACAAAGAAGTAATCAGACTGGAGCAAAAAACACCTAACACGCATTTCTACACAAATATATACAATATGCAATGACACCTAGCTCTTGCAAAATAAAAGAAAGGAAAAACGGAAAGCAAGGTACCACCGCACGAAATCGATCGAATTCCCTTCGAACCGGCCAGAGTCCGAGCAAAGGATACGAAAGATGCCGAGATGAATCCTCCGTGCCACCGATGCCACGGGAAGGTGAACATCGACACGCCGATGTACGAGAAGATGAAGTTCTCGGCGAGGAAGTTGAGGACCTCGAACAGCTGCTTCGTCCTCGTCCGCGACTCCGCCGACAGGTTGTTGTAGGTGTAATGCGCCTGGCAGATCCCACAGAAGAGCACAGCCACGATACCTGAAAAAAAAAGCCATCAAACTTAACAGACCAAAAGCCAACATTCCGTGCCGCTGCCGACACGTCGGTACTCGGAACGCGAGGTCGGACCCTCGCGGGATTGCAACCGGATCGACATAGGTGAAACCAGGAATTTTAACGACAAAATGCGAGCATCTCCCATCACCAGGTTGAGGAAAATCTGGTCGAACCAAGTGAAAACTTATTCAATTCTGCATTAAAATCCCGACTTTCAACAACAAAGAAAATTCATATGTTTCACAATATTCAATGTTACCTAGCACCTAGCATCAGCGAGTAGCCTTTCAACCCTGGCATTGTCTCAGATTGGAGCCAGACACAGCAGCTTTCTTGCATATGTTTTGCATACAAGACCATACAGATATCAGAGCAGAAGGGACCCTAGCTGCTCGTGCAGAGACAATAAGCAATGCTTTTTGAATTAATGCCTTCTAAGCCATTAAATTCTTCAGAAATATATAAATAGCTGTTATTCAAATAGGAAACTCTGGTTCCCAGTCATCAACAAATCTAACATAAGGCCTCGATATTTCACCTCCACAAAACTTCTAGAAACTGAGATTAAAAGTAAAATTTGTGAAATAACAGCAAGAGCTGCTTTTGAAAAAACACCCACCAGTCAATTCAGCAACTTCGGCCATCAAGAAAGTCGAGTAGGACATGAGAACAAAGAGACACGTCTCCAAGAGAGGGAAATCCCTCAGGTGCGTGAATTTCGTCAGGTGAGCGGTTCCGTCAAGGAAATTCCATCAGCCTTCACAAAATCACATCACAGAAAACCACATGTGATAAAAGACTGCCATTGCTGTGATGGAAGCAGGCGGTGATGCATCTCATTTATAAATTCTGCTCAAATATGTGATTGTAAGCAGTTTAATCAATTCTTTTGACCAGTACCCAGTTCCCACTATAAAACCCGCAGAGATAACACCCCCAAAAATGAAACCAGTGAATAGCTGGAACCAGGGACATAGCCAGGAATGACTTTCAGGGGGGGGGTTATCTTTGTGATTCTCTTTCAGGCCCATGAGATGAAAAAGTGGCTGAGGAAGGTGAGTGGTCGGTAGAAATGAGGAAAACTTTGAAAACGTGTTTGAGACTTCATTCAAACCCACCACAAAATAGCCCGTTCTCTTCCCAAAATTTACATTTTTTTGCATGATATGGATCAATGAATGATCTTGAATTATTCATAATTTAGCAGGTGAAAACTACTCCTGAATCATGGTTTAGCTACCGGAACTAAAAAAAAAAACTGGTAGAGCAATGGAAGCAAAATTTCCCCCTAAACAGCATTGGTTAAAAGTGATCATATTCAGAAAGTGGAATAGGATTGCAAGTCGAAACTTCAGTTGCACATGTGAGACTTGTCACACACCTCCCCCCCCCCCCCAACACTCCTTGTTTCATGTCATACTTCATTTCAGGGGTTTCCAGCCCACCCCGGCTATTTCCCCGGCTGGAACATGTCATCCCACCACATTCTAACCACTCATTATTCTTCTTTACTTTTTGTGCCAAGACCACAGTTGAGGACTAATAGCATACATTAAAACCATAGGGAAAAATTGGAATTGACTGCACTGCATACCATGACTGCATATCACTTAGTCATGCAATATGAATAAACTATTATCACAAACAAGACAGGAAAGGATATAATAGCCGTGGCACAGCCCATGGCGCATCCGATGAAGAGGCTGCAGAAGAAGGTGGAAACGAACTTTCCAAACGCCTTCAGGAATGCGATGCCGTCGAACGTCGACCCCGACGCGTACGTCTCCGTGTATTCCGTGATGGCGCTGCAAGAAAACCGACACAACAGAATTAAAACGCAGTATGAAAATTCATGGATAGTGATGGCAAAAAAAGAAAAGCTCAACTGATTATAATCAGTGCATACCTTCTCACTTCTTAAATATCTACACTTGGTGGTCCCCTTTCCATTAAGCTTATGCCCAATGTAATGTACAATACCTACCAGGAAAAGACATTAAGCCAGCTGTTTATGATCCTAAGCCACCTTTAGGACACAATGACACAAGTCAGGCAGCCACAGGTGAAAAAAGTAATGGACAACTGCATTCAGTCTTGAAACATGAGTATATTAGGCATATGTTCATTAATTTGACATCAATCAGATGATCATGGGAACCATATGAGGCCATGTGCCCAAGATCAGTCTGCACCAATTTGCTCACATCTGGCAGAGTAGGGGTGCCCTCATCCAGAATTTCCATTTTTAAAATGAAGCAGTCCCACAGACATTTGGTTGCATCCCAGAGGAATAAGTAATCATTGGTTTGATTCAATGAGTAATGACACACCATGTTAGCCTTCATAGAATGTGCTCGGACCATCGGGAGCAGATGATGAAATTCAAAACGATTCTCCAGGATTAAAAGAGACAGCTACATATCTCTGAACACATCCTTTTTCCTTCTGGAACTTTGTATTGCACGACCCATCATGAATTCAAAGAAAAACTGGAGCACATTCAATACCACTACAACCAGTAAGGTCCAACTCGAACCCCATCGACCTGCACCACCCGCATTCTCAATCTTTGCATACCATCCACGCGGCAAAGAGAATCGAATCCCACCCGGTGAGCACGATGGCGACGGCGTCGTTCAGGACGCTCTCTCCGAACACGAGGATGTAGAGGCTGGTGTCCACCTGGAGGTCGTTGAAGATGGCCAGCACGGTCACTGGGTCGGTGGCGGAGATGAGAGCGCCGAAGCTGAGGCAGTCGGCGAAGGAGAAACCACGCTCCAGGACGTCCACGGCTTGGAACAGCTGGACGAAACCGTAGATGATGGAACTGGAATGGCACAAAAAAATGTCAGCACATTCTCAACAGTCTGAAACTGAAAACCAATGAATGATTGCAGTTTTAAACTATCAAGTGATATATATATTTTTTAATAAGCACGTGTTCTTATCAGGGTCATTCACAAGGAACTATGCCACTCCATTCTTCAATTAGGTCTCAAGCATTCAAGGTGAAGTGGTTGTTAATCTCTCAAGCACGAAGAACACACGTGAGAACTACAAAAGTTGAAATGACATCATTTATTGAGATACAAAAACACACCACTAGCCGACTGTGATGTTTTGTAAAGTACTAAGAGAAACTACTGAATCTCACCTCATGTACGACCCTCAACAAAATGCAGGAAAAAAAAGTGTATCCGTCCCTACCCTGTGACAGTAGCGGCAATCGTTGTCCCCAAGAAAGCAAGGGTCATGATGGTTCCAAGATTCCGGAAGAAATATTTCTGAAACACACGTGGAGATAAAACAATTAGGAACACTCAAGGATCAGCTTGGGAATGAATATATTAGTCATATTTGTACCTCATCATGCTCTTCAACTTACTTTATAACAAAATATCAATCAAACATAGCTTGTACAGCAGTAAGTATAAATGGGAACAATATTATGAATTTCACCCTCCACAAGGTCAAGTGGTATAATGTGTATTATACGGCAGCTGAGCAAGGACTTTATTTAATACAGATTATAAACCAAAATTTGGAAAGGAAAAAAAAAAAAGTGGTAGGAAAAAATCCTGATAAGAGAAATCCTGATAACTCAGGAGTTAATATTCCTTAAATTGGCAATGTCATTCTACATTCCTAATGATATATTAATGCAGGAAATTGCTTTATTAGTAGGAAATATGAGTAAAACTAATAGATTAATGACACCAGTGACTCATGATTCTCTACCAGCAATATAGTCAGTGAACACAAGAAGCAAAAAAGAACTCTCTTGACAATGACAGCAAAGATCAGGATAAGTCAATGCATGTCAAAGAAAAAAATTCCAAGTGTATCTTGTCTTTTACTGCCTTTACATTTAATGTCATAAAGCAACAGCTACATTTTATGGGCTACAGGAAGGATAACGAATTTAACTGAACCTATGATTACTATTTCCCTCATCAAACTTAATGCACATGCTTCTGTGCCTGCCTGGTCCCGAGTCAGCAGAGTTTGATATTACAACAAAGTTGTAATATCAAACTCTGAAACTCTCTGACATGAAGTTTGCCATGCAAACAAATGAGGTCAAATAATGGACAACTGTGGTTTTTCTTTTTTCTTCTACTTCAAAAACCTGCAATTTTACAAATCTAAGACAACTATTAGTGAAAACCAAAAAAATGAGCAGGGTGATTTTGCGAGCAATGGATGGCATTTGTCAGTCGGTCAACAAGTAGAAAGAAATCTTACCCTTTTCAGGCTATAGCCAGCGTTGAAGATGATCGGCGGCAGGAGGATGTTGAAGAAGATCTCGGGATCGAAAGTGGCCTGCGCGAGAGAAAAGAAGGAGACCGAATTCTCGACGACGACTCGATCCAGCCCAGAGGTCGCGCGATCGTTCGAAGTCGACCGAGAGAAAAAAACTGCAAGACCTTTTCCTCGATCTCGTTCTCCGTCGCATCCGTGATCTCCCCCTTGAACGTGTAGGAGAAGGTCTTGTTCACCATCACGGTCTGGGTGGACTTGACGATGGAGAGGGGGACCTCGACCCGCAGCGTGTCCGGGGGGATCATCGCCTCCGTGGCGTTTGTCGACACGGCCGTGACGTCCCAGTGGGAGATCTCCGTCGTGCTCGACGTGTAGCGGAGGATGGCTCCGATGATCAGGCCTGGCGGCGGAGACACAAAAGCGGACCGTGAGATGCCGCCGGGAGTCGGACGGGCCGACGGACGAGAAATCGTCCGAAGAGTGTGAGAATTACTGATAAATATTGATATCTTATAATTACATTGTTTTCTGGGCAGTGTTAACTGACAACACCTTTCCTCTATGTTAGATAAATAGGGAGCTCTCATTAATATTTTTAATACATTTCAGTGGTAAGTACACGCTAGAAAATTACTTTCCTATAGTTCTCTGATTCTCCCAAGAGGAAACTTTGCAAAACCTCATAATACTAATCCTAACATCGCTGTCTTAATCTTCCATCATCTCCCAGAAAATCAGACTTGAAAGATATGACCCACAACAATTTTTATCAATATTGCACGGTGCAAACTTGGAAAACAAGCATTGAATTAAACAAAGGAATTAGGCCAGGGCCATCACTCAATCCTATTCCTACGGCAGGCCCTAATCTTGCGAAGCGCACGACGATGAGAATCTTACCGTAAATGACGGCCAGGCCCGTCTCGTGGATGAACCTCAGCCGTCGATGCTTGAACATCCATATGGTGACCACTGTGAGGACCAGCAGGAACAAATAGGTCAAAATGTTCAAACTGTCCACGATATGATCATATTTCGCCTTCTCGTCGAACCGTATGTCCGGAGGAGAAGCAAGGGACGCCGGAAAAAACGCGACCAGAACTGCGAAATACGGGCCGGAAAGTTTCCACCTGCTGCGCGCCATCTTGGATTCCGACCCCTATCGTGACGTCACGTCGTCTGCTACGGATCACGTGGCCGCACCGATCGCCACGTCGTCTGCTACGTATCATGCGGTCGCCCTTTAAATGCGCACCTCCACTCCGCCACGTCACGTGAATGCCCGTCATTCGAACGGGTTCGCGTTCGAAGTACTTCCTGCGACTCTGACGTACTTCCCTTCGAAGTTACGAAGCCTCGTATTGCCGATGGGGCAATACGAGCTGCCTTTAAAAAACGTTGAGCATGCCTCTCAAGTAGAACTCCTTGAAGGAGGATGTTTGAAGGAGGTTTCAGGCCTTGATGTGTAGTGAGGCTGTGCGTGCCTCGCCGCTTAGGGGAAGTGCTCCGGGAGGTGTTCGGTCCACCTCGGGGAGGTGCTCCATCCTTGCACCTCCCTAATTTCTCTCGCTTCCGCCAGATGACACTAGTGATCCCCAAACAAAAATGATTCCTAAAACCACGGAATGGCGTTTTTAATTTCCATTGAACCCAACATCCCCTCGCAGATCCCAGTGCAAAATCGAGAAAAGAAGTGAAAGAACCGGGCCGAGCGAGTCTCGCCGCCTGGCAATATTGCACCACGGAGAGAAAATCGATGCAATCGCGGCGCTCCACCAAAGTCAATAACGTTTATTTTTATCCTCTTTTTTTTTTCCTCGTAACTCAATCAATCGCCATCCCGCTCGGAGGTACTTGCGAGTGGATGGATCGTAAAAAACCTATTGGCTTACGCTTGCCTCACGTGTCCCGGTCGATGGAGGTCCCCGCCTCACATGTCCCTGCCCTCGCCCCCCCTCGCCCCAATATTTCCCGTTATTGTCAACCGACCAGATCGTGAAGGAATTCGGGCTATCCGAGAAAAAAAAAAAGTTATTTTCGGGGTTGAAAAGTTTTCTATGAAATTCCGGAACCAAAATGTTACTTTCTTCCTTTTGGGAACGCGAGATCTCAATTTCGCACACCTCAAACTGCGTGAACTGGCAACGCGTGTAATGGCCCACGCGAATGGCCCACACGAACGGTCGCATCAATTTCAATTAAACTGTTTTTTCCCCCCAAAAAAATTTTATTGTACATTTTTTAGAATTTCACGGCCACCGCGACTTGCTGCGGGGAGAGATCGCAAGATGGAAAATCAGAGAGTCCGCCCTCGAGTCCACCCTCGAGTCCGCCCTCGAGTCCGCCGTAGGGCCGATTTCGCGACGCGAGCATGATTTGGCTCTCGTGATCCACGCGCGCGGAACATGAAGGCCGAATCTCCCCTTTTTTGTGATTTTTTTAGTACGTGGCTCACATGTCAGACGAACGCGTGGCTCACATGTCAGACGAACGCGTGGCTCACATGTCAGACGAAAGATCGTGCCGAGATTTTCTCGACGGCGTCAGTTTCCTTCTCTCGTAGTCACTCAGTAAAAAGTCCTAATTTTGTAGTTCTGGATACATTTTGCAATAATCATGCTAATTATAATGCTAATTATCACTCAAATTATGTTTTACCCTAGGTAATCTCGTCGAGTAATTACGTCACGCCTCGATTTTCGCCTCATTCGGCATATCAACCGAAATTTGAGCGATTTTCCTGCTCCACGCTCCTTCGATCCGGAAAGTCCGGAACAGCCGGAAAATCCAGAACAGCCGGAAAATTCGGATCAAGGGCATCGTTCATATTATTCCACTTGCTCCTCATGTCGCATGCGGAAACGCGTGAGACGGTGAGGAAACGTTGCTGCTCGTTAAGCATGAACGAAATGAAAAAT